CTTGTCCACAACTTTCAACTCGGGAACCACAAAAGCTAGGAAGCTGGAAATTTAGGGGAACGTTCCTTACCCACGTGTGACCTCGCAAATTTAAATTCAGCCTTCCCGTACACGCGTAGCACGTACGGCCCCGTGAAAGTTTTTCACGGGTAAATTAATATCTCGGGGACCACGGAGCCTAGCAGGCTGGAATTTTAGGTTAATGACCCTCTGCCCACGGTCGACCCTGCCTATTCAAATTCAGCGTTCCCGCGCTTTTGAATATCACCTATAGCCTTGTGAAAATTTCGGCGGGTAACTCGGGAGTAAGGGAAAGATATTCACCCTTCAAGGCTTCGAATTCAGCTTTCATGCTCTGGTGCGTGAAACTTTTAACTGTTTTCCAATGTTTGAACTATTTCTGCATAGACTAAAGTACAGAGCTGTGAAAATCATTAATGGGCAATCGTTCGATGGGCTGAATTGCGCAAAATGCATGATCGCACCCGCTAGTTTGGTGCGGGCTGCTATTTATTGTGTGTTCGTTTTTATACGTTTTTTCATATTTATGCAAATGCAAAAATGAATATTGGCGAGGCGATGCGTGTGTGTTTGTATTTTTGTCAACCACTTTCAACTCAGCAACTGGTGCAGCTAGGAAGTTAAAATTTCTCGAACATTTTTTCACCCAGTGTGCGATACTCCGTCTCCGAAATCATCGTTCTTCCTCCGCCTGGATATCACGTTGAAAACTCCTTAAAAACACTTCCTGATGTTCAGTCATTGCTCCCGCGCCACCAGGTACGCGTGATCTAGCCAACCGGCAAAGGATCTACGTCACGCAGCCATTGAATCCACCTATCCTAGCCTACCTCTCCATGCCTTGAAATCTCGAGGACGAAACCTGTAGGACATCGCTCCCGTTCGCACCTACCAAACCGAACATCTACATCACTTATCGCAGGGTAACTTTACCCCACCACAAAAGGAAATTTTCGCGACTCGTGCATGACATCAGCAGAGCCGAATTCTAGTAATCGCGCAGACGAATGCGTATTAGATGATGGGTGAGCCGAGCCGAGTTTTAGCAGCTGGGAGAGCATGTTGGTATTTAATCCATTGCACTTGAAATGCGCGTGTGTGTTTGTGCACGGCGAGGATCCAGGAGTGGGGGATTATGGATGGGGATAGTGGCAGGGATATTGGAACCAGTCCTGTCTTCTTCTTTCTGAGCATTGATTTTGTTTCTCGAAGATTGTTCTTTTTGCAGTTGTGTACGGTTGCCTGTATTGTGTGTGTGTATTTCTGTATATGTTTGTTTGTCCGCGTGTGTGTGTATGTGTGATGTGTGTGTGTGTGTGTGTGGCGGTCCGTCTCTTTGTCCGAATGCCATGACGGAGGAGAGGATTTTGTTGGATAATTAACGCGATGATGTGTGTACAATCCTCCATATCCTAATTTTCTTTTCGAAGTTTCACAGTTTAAATGCAAAATATTCCCCGTCTTTCTTGCTCAGTCCGAGCTGATAGTTAACTTTATCGAGCATGCTATGAAACGATCCTTAGCCCGTCCTTATCAACCCTATTACTCGCTGAGTAAAATCCTCGTTTTTTCTATTTTTTTTTTTTTTTTTGAAAAAGGAGGAAATTTGAGAAGTATAAATTGGGAGGAGAGTAAATTGCATCTGTAATTGTGAATGAAAGGAAAAAGCTGGGAAGCCAAGAGCATATAGCAAGAGATCAGCCGATGTGTA